CCGCCGCCGCCGCCGCCGCCCGCCCAGAGCAGCCCTACCAGCCCCATCCCCGACCTCGACCGAGGCCCGCCACCGGCTCGGGTCCCACCCGGCGCACCTGCACGCTGGCTGGTAACCGGGCCTAGGGCCGGCTACAAACGCCAGGGTTCCGGCCCGACTCGAAGACGAGCTAGTCTCGCTGAAATAGACGTCCTACTTTTCCAGTAGACCCAGAATTCAGAAAAGCTTTAAAAGGAAGCTTAAGGCACAATTATCTCAGCTCTTACAAAACACCTCAACTTAATCTGCCTTTGAACTCTGCATCTGTACAGAATGCCAAAAACCAACTTCCAGTGCTTCTTTGAAATTTGAAACCATGAGGCAAAATTAAGAACACTCTGCCTACTTAGGGTGTTTTTATTTAAGAACCTTAAGATAATACATCAACACCTTACATGACAAGCCGGGTGCAGCTGGTCCAGTTTTACAAATGGGTGAACTCAGGTACAGAATGAGTCAGTGAGAAGTAAAAATAGACTCCAGTTACACTGGTATCAGGCTCATTCATGAGACAAAATCCATACAAGCTCTCAAAAGTGTAGTTGTTTGATAATAATAATACAGCAGCGAACGCTTCTAAAGTGCTTTGCATATATTAACGCTTTATTTTCACAAACTACCCTTTTGAAGTAGGTCCTATCAGGTCCATTTCACAGATAGGAAAACCGGGGCACAAAAAAGTGATCTTGCTCAAACTCAAGCAGCTAGTTATTGTCAATAGCAGAGCCAGGATTCCACCCAGGTAGTGTGGGATAGCCTTTAACCCCTTCCCTGTTCCGCCTGATACAGTGAGATAAGCACCGGTTCCTCTTAGCTGTCTTGTTTAACAGCCTGGGGAAAGTCTTACGAGTCTGAGCCTTTGGTTTCCCTACTTGAACACATGGAGACCTCTCATGATTTCTGAGGATTCAATGGTGTGCAAATTCCTTGAAAGGCATCCTTAAATCGTTATAGTCTCATTGATGATGAGTCTCTTAATCTCTTCATCACATTGATACCTACATCTCAAGACTCGGGCACTGGGAAATGATACAAAACCCCATTTTCTCCGATATTCTGCAAATCGTCTCTATACAGAAGAGCTAGAGGAAGGAAACCACCAGCCGTCAGGGGGCCGGTCTCACTTACCACAGCTCAGCTTTCACTGACCCGAGCAAAACAATAAACGCCGCCGGGAAGCTCACCCGCCGTAGAAGAGCCTCACCCCTGCTCAGACACGCCTTCAAACCTCTCCCGGTCCCCAGCGTTCACCCGGCACCCGACCGGCGGATGCTCTCGGCCCCAGCGTGCTCACAGCCTAAACGCTCGGGGCTCCCTCCGTTTTCAATGAACCGAAGCTTACACGAACGCGAGCTCCCGGGAATCCAGAGCTGCTTCAGCGGTCCCATCACCTTCAGCTCCGATGCAATGCGGGACTGGAGCAGACTGAGGGGAAAGGGCTGCGGGTTCCCAGTTGGCTACGAGAAGCCACGCCCTCCTCTGAATGGGCGGGCGAACCGCCAGAGTCAGAATGACAAAGCAAAAATCCACTCCTCGTGCAGCCCTGGCAACTACGCTGATGGGCTTAGCAAAGTGGGATCTCCTAATTGGGTGACAGCACATCCTCTTCCTGCTCACAGCGCCCCCAACCCCAGAAAGGGGCAAAAACCATTTAAGGAATGTTTGGAACCAGAACCAAGAGTGTGTCTTAACTGAATAAAACTGGACTATTAAAAAAGGGAAAGAAAGAAAGAAAAAAAAAGACTATGCCCTCAGGCAGTGACTCCAGAACTTTGCTACGGATTGTAATCACGCGAGGATCTTTAAAAATACTGACGCCTGGCTCCCACCCCCAGACATTCTGATGTAATTGGTATTGGGTGCGACCTGGGCATCTGAGTTTTTTAAAACTCCCTGGATGATTCCAGTGAACGGCAGTGTAGGACCCACTGCCCTAAGGGAATGGATTAGTCAGTCTGGCAATTCCCTAAAGGAAGTGATCAAGCTTTGAAAATTATCATCTAGTCCATCCTGACTAATTCTCACCAACACATAACTTCGATTCATAGTACTTCCTCCTTATCCCACTCAAATTTTGGTTTGTCATACTTGTTTTAAGGAAAACAGAGTATGTTTAACTCCAGCCATGCCAAGATAGCTGCAGCTAGCTGCCCAAGCCAGCCACATGCTCTCATACTTTCCTGCTCTTATTCATCATCTTACTCAGCATCTTGCACTAGTAGGTGGCAAGGACTATTTGCTGAATAAATAAATAAATGAATGTCTTTCACACTTCTTTGTCTGGATACTGCCAGACTGAAGCATGCTCAGGCGAAAGGGTTCCTGGTTTCTCAAGGCAGCGAGAAGCCATGATTTGCTCCTTTGAGTCCCTTCCCAGTGTAAGTCACAGGCCTGGTGCAGTGTGAAAACACACACACACACACACACACACACACACACACACACACACACACACACACACACACACACACACACACACACACACACACACACACACCCTCCCATCCCTGCAGACTGTGGGGGAGGGAAAAAAACCTTTTCTCTACCCTCCTAGGTTCTTCTAGCTGGTCTAAGAATTAAATAGGCATGAAACATCAATAGGAGAAAATCAAATCTAATTACACACATGGGGAGCAACATGAGAATGTGAGGTTTAGGCAGTTGAAGCTTATATACCTTCCAAGAGAAAGAGAAGTTAAGGGTTTGGGACTTCAAAGGGAAGGAAGTGATTTACAGGAAGATGAAAGTGAGCAAATGTTTGATAAACAAATGTTTGCTGGGCCATACAGAGACAATGGGATCCAAAGAGGACTTTGATCAAACAGGCCTTGCTGAGTTCCCCGGTCTACCACACCTATTTCATGTTATACTTTAATTTTCTATGGTGATAGCTGTTCTTCCTGGAAGAGGCCCTTTAGGTTAATGGGAGAAGGTAAAAAGTTCTTACTGAGCTTTTGTTTCTTAAAAGTAATCAGCCCCAAATAAGCCTCAAGCCAAAGAGACACATTTGGGGATGACAAGTTTTGTTCCCCTACAACACGCTAAACTAACAGTCTCCCTGTTTAGTGGTTATGTGAGTGTATGCTTCACCTTATTCCGGGGTCCTTAGAACAGAGTATGGATCTAGCATACAGGTGTTTAGAAAACAAGAGGACTTAAGGACGGAAGAATGAAAAATGTGAGGGAAAGAAAGCTGGGATTAAGGGAGAAAACTTAGCATTTACTCCTGGCAGCTGTGCCAAGCTCTGTATTAACCATTTTACATGTCTTATTTCATTTAACCTATACAATAACAATCCATGAACCAGGCTCATAAGTCCACAGTCTTAAAAACATATAAAAACATTTCAAAAGCATGTTTTAGGATACAGAGGGACTTTAAAATTATTTAACTTAAAATAATGTACTAAAAACAAATGATAAGGATTGACTCCTAACAGCCTTGTATGACAGGCAGGTCAGTGATACCACAATTGATATTTTCTAATGGCATTCCAGAAAAGGTTAGGTAAGGCATTTTAACTTCACATTATTCTTTCTTTTCTCTTCTTTTCTTTTTTTTTAAGGTGTGGCCCCTTTACTTCATTTTCTTTTGTTTTTTGGAGGGGGTAGGTAATTAGGTTTATTTATTTATAATAGAGGTACTGGGGATTGAACCCAGGACCTTGGCATGCTAGGCATGCACTCTACCACTGAGCTATACCCTTCCCTCCTTGACTTCATACTATCCTTAAGTGACCAGATTATAGCACAAATCCCTAGAGTAGTTTCATGTAGTGTTTTTTTTAAGTCTAAAAACAAATCACTATTAAAAAAAAAAACTTCGCTTTCCTTTCAAACCAGTTTTGCTACAGATCAGGGTCCAGATGCCTTACCCTTGTCAGGAAATACAGAGAACTGTTTAATTCTACATAGCTGCTCGTTAATGGAAGAAGAGCCTCATCTCCCACCATTTCTCATCATGCAGCATTTGTTCTAGTCATACATCTTACATCTTTTGACTGGGTTCATGCTATACCCCCTGCCTAGAATTATCTTCCCTCCCTAAAGGCCTACTCCTTCAAAGCTCATCTAAAATGTCACCTCCTCAGGAGGACTGTCCTGATTCCTACCCAGTGTTTATCATTCTTTTCCTCTTCTGTGTCTCCAAACACCTAAAAATAATCACAAATCATCTAAATCCAAGAGAGTTTTGGGAAGGCAAACCCTTGCTTGATTTATCTTGTCCACTGAGAACCTGTTATATATAGTAAGTTTGCAGAAAATGTTGAGAAAGACTCTCTATGTTCCTGAGCTGTCATTTAAGCACATTATTAACAGGTCTATGCAGGCGTTTTTGATCTAGGGTCCTAATGCATAAAACTACTGTTTCTCAATAAGCCTTTCTCAGACACACATACACCATACTAAGCTGGAACCACCTTTCTGACACCCAGATCTTCTCTGCTCAAACCTCCAGTAGCTCTCTAGGAACCTCAAAATGAAGTCCAAACTCCCCTATTATACTGACTTGGCAAGGGCCATCTTTGTGGGTTTGTTTTCTCTGTTTTTTGTTTTTTTTTTTTTTGAGAGGTGAGGTAGTTAGGTTTGCTTTATTTACTTAATGGAGGTACCGGGGATTGAACCTAGGACCTCATGCATGCTAAATATGCACTCTACCAAGTGAGCTATGCCCTCCAGCCTCAGCAAGGAACATCTTTGATAAGCCTAGATGTCTACATATTCTGTACCCTACAGCCAGAATACACCGCTGGAGAAAATATAGAAATTAAAAGTGATTTCACTTTAAAGTCAAGATCACAAACCTCAATGTGTCCCCAAAGCTGCCCAGCAGTCCTTTGCATCTCTGGTATATTTGTTTTCCCAATTTCCAGAGTGACTATTTTATACTTATTCCTCTTTTTCCAAACCTCTAACACAGTGTGAACAAACAAAAACAAAGAGCATTGCTCATGTTGGGGCCCAGGTTAGGCTGTCCTAAAATGTGCCTTGATGGCAAATTGATTACTTTGAATTAAAGTTACTTAAAAAACGGTCAATGCAAGAGGGACACTCTGACCCTCCTGTCTCCCTGAAAGCAGGGAAGAAGTCACTCATGTGAAAGGTGCACTTCCTGCATCTGGAGGTAGCACAGCCTCATTGCAAAAGATAGGCAACTCAGGGCCAGTAAGTTTACATAGACAAACCTTGTTGCTTCTTTAATTTACTACCCCATATCCTCTGTTTATATGCTTTAATAACTGGGCACCCCAAACCTAAGTTCCTCTGTCCTGTCAATTCTTCACACATGTATTGTTTCTTTGTCTAAAAAGTCTAGAAGCTGCCCGCTTTGGTCCCATTTCTATGGGATCTCAACGTGCATGAATTAAAATGGAGAACAGGAGAATAATTTTCTTCCTCCTGTTAATCTGTCTTGTGTCAATTTTAGTATTAGTCTAGCCACAAAATCTCAGAATATATTGGAAGGGAAACTTCCCCCTCCACAACACACACCACCCAGTTCTGCAGGATTAAGTCTTAACCCAATGCAGTTGCTCACTGACCTGAGAGGAATTCAGGATAAAATCAGGACTAGGCCCTTTGTGTTTTGGGTAAACAGGCCCTTAGATGCATATCTCAGGAAGAATGAAAATGAAAAAAAAAAAACCCAGATCCTTGTGTCTTCCCATATTTAGATAAGCACTGAATAATTAACTTGAGGTATCTGTTCTTTGTGATTAGCAGTAAACTTTTACCAAGATGTATGCTTGAGTGTGCGTATTTCCTAGCCAAAAAAAGAAAAGAAAATCATATATATCATAATTAAACTGGCCTTTCCCCTACCTCTTCAGAGCAGCTCCTCAGAGCTGAGTAGCTGTCTCCAGTCTACAGTCTCCAGTAAGACCCTGAATAAAACTTAAACTCACAATGCTTAGAAGTGGAATTTTATTTTATTTTTAATTGAGGTACTGGCGATTGAACCCAGGACCTTCTGCATGCTAAGCATGTGCTCTACCACTGAGCTATACTCACTCTGCCTAAATGCCCAACTCTTAAGTTGTGTGTTTTTCTTTAAGTCAACACTTTCCTACACCTTGTCATTGGCTCATGACCTGCTTTCTACTTTAATGGAATCAACTGGACAGAACTCCCTCCTATTTCCATCTCAACCACCCAACTGCCATATTCTCTGCCTTCACTCTTGTTTTAATGAAGGCCAACTCCTCCACTTGTGTGCAGATTTTCATCTTTTTTTGCCTTCTCAGTCTTCAATAACTTCACTCTTCAAATCAGCCTTCCTCTCTGGCAACATCAGTTTTCTTGTTCTCTACTTGATCATTCCCATAATAATACATAATATAGTTTTCCCATTTAAAAAAGCCTTCCATGATCCCATGTGCCCAAGCCTGGTAGTTACCACTTCATTTCATTGCTCTTCTTCACAG